CTTCCCAGTTTGATGCTTATAATCCAGTTACACTTGAAGGAGTTCGTTGTCGCTTCCCAATTTCATGCTTCTCAATATTTTCAACTGATCGGTCTTCAAATGCCATCGCTCATCTTCTCCATTGACGCCTCCTACCGCGATTCTAGTCCGAAATACAAGGCCTGTAGTCGGCAAGTGCTGTGGGTACAGGTTTAGTCGGTTTGTGTAAAGGCCTACCAAGATTCAATTTAATAGTCATACTCGGAATGTGAATATTTCTGCCTATTTGCTTTGTTTGGTAATGTCCCTGCGGTTGTTTATTGCTCTTAAATGTAGGTGTGTTTGATACTTATGCTGAGGCAATCAACAATGTAACTCGAGCGTGTAAACATCAGGTAATTTCATTATTGAATGTAAATGGTTTGGGAGTGGTTGATGGGGTAAGTAGCTTTCGGATGCTCAAAGGCTTATCCAAAAAATATAATTTGTGGGTTGAGATTTCCTCAATTTGGCATGTTAAATAGTCCACAATCTAAAAATGGATTATGAATCTGTTTAGCAATACATCTTTGGAAATTGGAACTCTTCTGGTAGGTGTGTGTTTGAAGTTTGCCCAAGGTAACCAACATTATTACTTTCGACAAATATAAACATCACGTGATTCCTGCATTAACTCTTACTGATTTGACTCAGTTTCCGTCCTCCCCTTTCTCCTTCCTTTCATCGGAATTCAATACGTGGTCCAACAATGGATTGGATTCAGATTGCCCGTTGCTGGGGTGACTAGAAGAGGATTGGTGGCTGAATCTTTGCACTTGGTTGTTATCGAATTGATTTATTGCATGTCGATGAATTGAATCACTTCCAGCTTGCTTGAATCGGTGCTTGCTAAAACTCGAAGAACGAAAACAACGATACGAAGATTTACGTGGTATCCTCGTTCATATGAACGAGACTAATCCACGGAAAGCTCACACAAGGAGCTTTCGGTTTATGTTATTAGGGTTCTGTTCTTTTCACTGCAGCATACATCGACCGACGAGCAGCATGGCTACAAATATATATAGGGTTCACAATTTCCTTTACAGTCACCTAGGAAAAGCGAATAACCTACTTAGTCCTCAAACAATTTGTAACCTGACAACTAAGGACAGTACGCATACACCACCAGGCTACAAGCGTACTCCCTAACAGTGCTAGGCATACACGGAAAGCATCTCCTATCAGGTTTCTCTACCATAATGGACTTTCAAGTTTCAATGCAACTGTAATAGTTAGGCCATGAAAGAATGGATGACATCCCTGTTGTGATTTACTCTAAAGCATTGTTTAATTATATATCCACACTTATTTTGCATCTAGCCTCCCATATTCTCTTTGAGGGCAATACTTGAGTCACCATTGGTTAATGAATATCGAAACAAGTGGGTGTTTCGTCTTGCTATCAATTGAGTACGTTAATCTGCTAAAAGACAACATCCTCATAGGATTGACTCAGAAACATTATTGCTGACATCATGTAGAATCAAAATGAGTTTTGTGATGTTAATAAAACTTCATATGTAGGGTGTCCAAACGGATTGGTTACCGTGGTAACCATATTAACCAGTAGCATTCGGTTAGTTTGGTTTGGTTAATTTGGATAATTGGTTTGGTTTGGTTAAACAATTTAGTTTATTTGGTTTAGATGGTTTGGTTTGGTTTCAGTACTGCTAACCAATGAAACCTATTAACCAATTAATGATACACCTAATATATAAAATTATTTATACTTTCATGCAACCAACTAAACCAAACTTTCATGATTCCCTATTTTATTTTCATGTGCACAACAAACCAACACTACAGGAAAAAGATCATTTAAGCACGGTGAATCGCGTGTTTAAAAGTGTGTTTCCCGTGTTTAATAGTTTTATTCACGGTAAAATTACTGTAATATATACGTCTGTGTCTAATTGTAAAGGTCACAGGAAACTCGTACCGTGACTAATTATAATTAGTCACGGCATAATTTCCTGTGATAATTTGTACCTATTGGTCACGGGATGCCCCGTGCCCAATGCATAAAACAAGAGCACAATAACATGGAAAATAAGTAATTTAGACACGGGATGAACACCTTTTAACACGGTACTTACTGTGATAAAATCGTTTCCCGTGACTATATGTCAATCACTAATTAAAGAGAGACAGGGACTAGATTCGTCTACATACATATCTCAGCTGCAAGCTTCAGGGAAGGAATTCGGAAAGCAAAGAAGAAACGAAAAACTGGAACAAAGGATCGGAAGTGGAAGACTGCAGGGCAGGGGAAGAACGAAGAGATTCAGATGGGAAAGAAGAGAGAGCGCTTCGTTTTCTTTTTGGTACTAAGAGCTCCGTTTTTTTTAATTGGAAAAGGAGAGCTTTGTTTTTTTAATTGGGAACGCAAAGAGAAAACTTCTTTTTCTTGCATTCTCGTTTTTATAGATAAAGCAACAGCGGGAGAACCCCAAAATTCAGGATGTATTGGAGCCAAAATTTTCGGAATTCACTGGAGGCTAAATTTTTGGACTTGGAGCCAAAATTTAGGAGGGAAGTTTTAGCATTTGCCGGCGGGAAAGAAATTGCGGGAGTTATGGGACTTTTGGACAAATCAATTTTCAAGTACTAGTGTTATTAGGTTATTAATTAGGCAGCAAATTTTGTCCACGTCTTTTCATTCAACCATAAATATTTTAATTAATTTTAGTTGTTAGTTGGTTCACAACAAAATTTTCACTCACGTTTCTTTTTTAATTCATTTAATTCATTTTTAATTCCCTTAATTTTAATTTTTAATTTGGAAAGACAAATTGTCACATTGTTCATGGTGATTAACCGTGAGTAATAATTTCTCACATTGTTCACGATAATTAACCGTGACTAACTATTAATCACGGTAAACAAAGACTAAAAATTTGTTAAACTAATTACCGTGACTGGAACTATACAATCAATTACAGGAATTTTACCCGTGATCATTAATACACTTCTTAGTACGGTAAAATTTCCCGTGAAAAAGATCCCGTGACTAGAAATCTGTTTTCCTGTAGTGCAAAATATTATAGGTCAAACTATCTATAGTTTAAGTGTTTTATAGGAGAGCTTTAACTTCCTAATGAGTGGTATTTGTATGTATTTAATATTTATATTAAGAATTTGTTGTAAGCTAATTATATCAGGTGCAGAGATGATCAATGATGTATTTGTTGTTCCCGAGTACCGACCGATACAAAAATAAAAAGTGCATGAATTTATGAAAGGAGGTTTATGATTCATACAAAAAAAAGAAGGTTTACGATTATAAATAACAATTATTTTCTCATAATTATTAGTTTTTTCGTTTTTCTATGTAACGAAAGATTGATTGCTATCCCATTTAGAAGTTCCAAGTGGGACGGGTTAGCATGCTAACCCCTTAAGGGGTTGGTTTTTTGACACCCCCTTTTAATTGGTCAATTTTTCATTAATTATTGACAAGTATTAATGAAAGTAAACATAATAAATGTTCTGTTATTAAATACAAAGAAAGCATTAAATACACCACATTAATTACCACTTTACTGGTATTTGTACCACTGCACTGATACTCAGATATGACATTGCTACCAGTGCACTGATATCGCTACCAGTGCAGTGGTATATCTACCAGTACAGTGGTACAACGTATCAGTGCAGTGGTATATCTACCAGTACAGTGGTACAACGTATCAGTGCAGTGATATATCTACTAGTACAGTGGTACACCCTATCAGTGCAGTGGTATATTTTTTGGAGGTGGTCGGAGGGAGTCTGCCGATGGGATTTTCACCGGAGAAGTGTGGCGGTCGGAGGAAGTTTGGTGGTCGGAGACTGCTGAAAAAGGAAAAATCAAATATAGTGAGAGAATTCCTAATGTGTATTTAATGTGTGTATTTAATTCCTAATGTGTATTTAATAGTGAGAGAATTCCTAATTAATATGGTACATTTAATTCCTAATGTGTATTTAATGTGTGTATTAATTATTGTGTATTAATTATAGTTGTATTTGATATACTAGGGAGTGTCATTTTTCCAACCTCTAAGGGGGTTAGCATGCTAACCGACCCCGTTCCAAGTTGAATAGCCAACATATTTCCTCCTAGATTTTTTTTTTCCACCGATAAGGAATTATGAAACTATAATTAATTGGCACCTATAAAAAAGGTGAAGAAAGACTATGACGAGTACTGTTATAAGAATTATATAGCGACATCAAATAAATGCAATTAAAGTTCGCGATTCAATGAGATGCAAGAGCGAAGGAAGGACTATTGATGGTGAAAATAAAGGTTTAATGAGTTAAAATGAAGCCGCATAGATAAAATAATGCTTTGGGTAGCGAAGCAATCAAGCAATCACAAAAAAATGTCCAAAAGAAATTTTGTAGTAATTTCTGACTTAAAACTTTGCAGTAACTTGAGTTAGCTGGTTGTAAATTTGAAGTTCGCTCTTATTTATTTTTGGGTTAATACCTTATTCTAGCTCGAATTATAATCATATAATCAAATTTGACTCGTGGTTTCAGAAATTAAAATTCTGGCCTCAACTATGCCGCATGTAGACTCAATTGGCCGTATGCATAGCTTGACCGTACCGTTGACTATTAATCAACTGGTCAGCTCACTGTCATGTCAGGAAAAAAAATCAATTTTTTTTTGGTAATGGTAACATCAATTAAGTTAATTTAAGAAAAGAGTTTGAAGCTTGCAAAACTAGGAAGAGGAGAGACCCCCTGGAACGGCAAACAAAACAAAGCAAAGAAATGGCACATCGAGTAGACAAACAAATCAAAAAAAGATGAAAAGATAGTGGAGCAATTCTCGGGAAAAAAAATCAAATTAAATTTTTTTTATTATTTCTTTTATCTAATTAATAAATAATGAAAAAAATGCAAATTTAATTTGGCAACCCAACGCAATCCGCGGGATGGATTCAGGTCCTTAAAGCCTAATCCTTAAGAAGCCCCTTAAGGGTAATCTAGGCCATTAGACCAAACTTAGGAAGTTAGCGTGTAGTTAAAATATGTTTTAGGCAGTTAGGGCCTTAGGGCCTAGGGTTAGTGATGGTATTGAAGTTTAATTTAATTAATTATTTTGAAATTTATTAATACCATCAGCATGTCTTACAGGAGTAAAATTGTTGTAGGTTTTTTTCTACAGGTCTCTAGGTTTTGCACCGTCCACAAATTATGCAACTCCGGCAACGAGATTCCTTGAATCGTCTAACGGTTTCTGGTGCCCCTGCATCGTCAACAGCAGCTCTGCACTGTTCAGCATCCCATATCTTCTCGTTCAGCAGCTCCAGCCCGTTCAACAACTCGCGCCGTCGACTCCGAACCGACCATTTCTTCGTCGGCGCCGACGGTCATCTCTTTCCTTATATCCTGCCTCCTAGAGTTCGTTGTATATTAACTTTTTTGTCTGTATTGCAGGGAAATTTCTTCATTGCAACCCAGGTTTGAAATTGATTTGTGAACCCCGCCGTGAATAACAGCTTGAGTTTTTATTAACAACCTCGTAGAGCATTGTCAATGGTTTGTATTGTATTTAAGAACTCAACATGGGCTTTATTAACAGAGTGGTATCATTATTAACATGTGGCATGCAGAATTAGTTATGGAATTTCATGGATTGTTAATATCTTATGACTTAATTATATTTGTAATGTTTTCAAATTTTGTATGTACATGTGAATTTCGAAGGTGGGAAAATGTAAATGTTACTTTCAATAAAAAACTGTTAATCTCGTATCATTGAACCACTAATAACGCTTATGTATAACATTAATAATTGTCACAACACCGGCTAATGTTGCTCTACAATATTTTGGAATTTACACTCCTTTCTTAACAATGAACATCGTTTGTGTTAACAATCGCTCAATAGTATGATTAAACATCTCCACGCAACAAGTTAATAACATTCACCTAAACATAGTATATTACTGATAATGGTATAAAAATGACTAACAATTAAAATAAAACCCGTTCATAACACATTAACAAAAAATAGAATACTATTAATAACATTTACCACCGATTTTCAAAACAAAATCCATATGACACGTTTCACAAAACCACATGTCCTTACGATGTTAATAACGACAATGTAAATCATTAATAATAACTGCATAGTCAAGCTATCTTGCTATGCCGTGTGATCAAAGATTGTAAGGTTGAGCTTGGTAAGAGTTCGTCAGTACTAATTGGTCAGAAAAACCCATTTGTTACGCTATAAACGCTTCCTCGGTATTATTTGGTTAGGAAACAATATTTTTTGACAATAGTAAAATTTTGTCAATACTATTAGATCAGGAAAACAAATTTTCTTATATCATAAAAATTCATCAATATTGTTTGGTTAGTAAAACACATTTTTTACGCCATAAGCATTTCGTTAGTACTATTTGGTCAGGAAAAATTTCGTCAGCAGCAGTTTGGTCAGGAAAAAATAACATTTTTGACGCCATAAAAATGTTGTCAGTAGTAAATGGTCAGAACAAATAAATTTTGTATGCCATACACAATTCTTTTGAACCATTTGGTTACAAAATTGAAACCTTTCTTACAAAATAAATTATCGTATACGTTTTTTCATAAATGTAAATCGGAAAAGAATGACATGTTTTAGAAATGATTATTTAATCAATAAAAAAACACATAATAAGCTCTGTTCTATGACAAATAGAAATTATATAATATATATCTCGATCTACAAAGATCAAATTAGTCATACTCAATCTTCGAACCCTGCTCTAATCCAGTTTAAGAGATCATCTCCCTGGATTTGGAGTACCTAGGATCATCAATTAAAATATTGCTTTTTGATAGACTTCGTCTAATGCTTCTTCTCCTTCTCCTTCTCCTTTCGTATTAGATGGCACCGCAAACAAATTTCTCGGTCACATTTTAACCACAATTTACCTATTTGGATCTCTCAAAGAAGGATTCAAACTTGGCACTTTATCATTGTGCATTCGTGTAATCTGCAATAATTGCAAGGATAAAATTAAAATTAGCGTGCGATAATTTTTAAATATCAAAATTCTTTATTATATATGACATGTATGTAACTCTAATAAGAATCACTTTGGAAATTCTTGCTTATGCACTGCTTCAACCATACGAACACCTCGATTACTCAGTGAGTTCTGTAATTAATTAAAATAAATTATTTTCTAGCAATCAATATATAAATAATAAAAATTGGTGTATATGTATACGTACCTTATAAAATCTTGCACCTCATCATAGTTTTGAAGAACATAAGAAGCTGCCACCTTCCACAAATCAATATTGAAGTCTCTCATGTCGTCCTTCACACCAATGGCACGACCGACACCCGGAAAAACTGATAAGTCATGAAATGGTTGCGACAACGATGCAGATTTATCTACATTTTTCTCTGGCAAATTAAATATAGTATCCATTCTAGTCAAATATTGCAAGCAAAATGTGACACATTCGTCGACAATATAAGCTTCGGCGATTGATCCCTCTGGACGTGCCTTGTTACGAACGTAACCTTTTAACTTCTTCATATACCTAAATTGTTTAAAAAATTTGAAATTAACTACAGAAAGTTTCCAAAATGTCAGTATATATAATCATTTTAGTGTAATTATATAGCATACATTTCAATAGGATACATCCATCGATATTGAACTGGACCAACAACTTTCGCCTCCCAAGGCAGATGGATGGGCAAGTGGATCATTATATTGAATAAGGTAGGAGGAAAAATATGTTCCAACTTACATAGGGTTATGGCAATTTGAGACTCCAAGTAATTCAAAGCTTCCATGTTTAGCTCCTTGGAATATATGTCCTTGAATATTTTGCTAGGCTGAATCAATGTGTCCGATATGACCTTCGGAAATAAGTCACGGGTGGCTAACGTTAATAACCTCTCCAAGAACACATGACAATCATGATTTTTCATCCCATGTATCTTTCGATCATCAACATTGACACGTGCCAAACTTGCGGAGTAAGCATCTGGTACCTTCACTTTTGATAGCCACTGACACAAGGATTTCTTCTCTGTCGCCGTCAAGCTATATGCAGCTCTATGTAACTCTGTTTTCCCATTCCCCTCAACACGATGAAGATCTTTCGTTATACCCATCTCCTCCAAATCACGATGGGCACTTAGACCATCCTTTGTTTTGCCCTCAATATTCATAATAGTACCAAGAATACTATCACATACATTTTTCTCTATATGCATGACATCCAAATTGTAGCGTACTAAGAGCGATGACCAATATGGCAATTCAAAGAAAATAGACTTCTTTTTCCAGTTATGAGTTTTGCCAAACCCTTTGATTTTTTTGCCTTTTCTCTCTCGCTGCTACCGTTTTCTCGCGATTGCGATGGCGGCCTCGTCGTTGGAATCTGCTCCGACGACGGGCAAGGTTTCGGAGGGATGTTCCTAGGCGCAGTTATTCGACATTGCTCCGGAGAATCGGATGAAATATCGTCCTCCAGAGCGTGTTAACGATGGGTTTCGCATCCCTCGGGAGGTAAAGCAAAAGGGGGAAGAGCGATGCCGGGATTGCTTGATCGGGTAGTTCGTTGGAGCTCAACCTAAGGTGGCGCAGTTGCAGACATGGGCTACCTCAATTTGGGGGAGAGATGGGACTGTCCGGGTGTCCAGATTTGGGCCTCGATTGTTCGTTTTCCAGTTTCCTTCTGCTTCAACCAGCAGGTGGGTTTTCAGATCAGGACCATGGCACTATCAAGGGAATTAGCTCTATCTCATGAAGTGGGCGCCGGGGATACAACCAGTTGCTCCTCAAGTAGGATCTCTTCCTATCTGGGTTAACATTTGGGGTATTCCTCTGGAGTACCACTCGGTGGAAGGGTTGGAATGGGTTGCTAGCACGGTTGGTCCTCCTCTCTGGATGGATAAAACCACAAGGGTGGGTGGGCCGCTGGGATATGCCAAAGTATGTGTCGATCTTGCTGCGGATTGTGGCTTTCCCTCCACGATTCGTCTCTATCCTGATGAGGATCCGAGTTTTGCTGTGGAAGTAGAATATCTGAATCTACCTAGGGTCTGCCCTGTCTGTGCCGTTTATGGTCATGATTGCAATGCCCTGGCTCAAAGTAATAAGAAGTGGGTAGTCAAGCAGAAAGTTCAGTCTAATGTTGAGACAGGATCAGGGGAAGTTCTTGTTGATTCTGGGGAATCATCTGTGGTTGGGTCTGAGCTGCAAGCTAAAGCAGGAACTGAAGGGAGTCATATAGTTCAATCTGTGGTTAGTGCAGTACTGAGTGACAAAACACAGTTAACAGAGCCTGTGGCTACCAGTGTGGGTGTTCAGGGTGTCTCAACTATCCCTCCTCCAAATGGGAATGCAAATGCTAGATTTGTGGATGTGGGTCCTGGGATCATCAGTTGATACTGGGAGTCCTAGTGCCCTACTGCAACAGCCTGTTGTAGCTAGTTCACCTGTTTCAGGGAAGCTAGTTACTCAGACTCCAGTATTTGTAAAAGAGACAAATCCTTGGATAACTGTTGGCTCTAAGAAGAAGCCTACTACTCCTAGAGTGATTGAGCCTGTTCTTCCTCGAAAAGGGGGGAGGATTGGAAAGAAGAAATGAAGATACTCACATGGAATATCCGGGAGTTTAATGACCCGGATAAGAATAAAGCTGTACAGCAGCTGATTAATACACATAGTATAGATATTGTAGTTATACTAGAGCCTAGAGTTAGAAGTAATAAAGCTGATGAGCTGATAAATAGACGTTTCTCTGGTTGGAAGTCTAAAGTTTCTAATAATGCTACTGGTCTGGGGAAGTTGTGGCTTCTGTGGAAGGCAGACATTAAACTTCAGGTTTTACATACAACAGATCAACTTATCCATGTTATGGTTGGGTCAGGAGTTCCATTCTTTTTCTCTGTCATCTATGCATCAAATGAGGAGGCTGACAGAAGATATCTCTATTCTGATTTGGTTAAATATCAAGTGGATTCACTTCCATGGGCTGTTTTAGGGGACTTCAACGCAATTGGGGATCCAAGTGAAGCTTCAAATCATCCTCAAGTATCTAGTAGTATGACTGAATTCAAGAAGTGGCAGTATGACTGTGAGGTGGAAGAGCATAAGGCCTCAGGGCCATGGTTTACATGGATTAATAAACAGCAAGGTAATCCAATAGCTAGGAGACTTGATAGAGTTTTTATAAACACCAAATGGCTGACTGAATTACCTTTGAGTACAGTGGATCTCCTTGATCCCTCAGTCTCAGATCATTGCCCTATTCTGCTTGACTCTGACTGCTCAGTGAAATCATTGCCAAAAATGTTCATGGAGTTGGTTAAACAGGCTTGGAGTTCACCAGTAGCTGGTTCTCCTCTGGTTCGAGTATGTCAGAAGCTGAAGATCTTGAAGGGATTACTAAAGAAACTTAATATAGAGGTGTTTTCTGATTTGTCTGCAAGAGTGAAGCTGAAAGCTGCTGAGTTACTTCTGGCTCAGGCAGAAGCTCTTAGCCACCCCTCACCTGTTACATTTGAGGCTGAGAATAGACTTTCTAAGGAAGCTAAAGAGTTGAGAGAAGCTGAGGAGTCCTTTTATAGACAAAAATCAAGAGAAGTTTGGTTGAAGGAGGGAGATTCAAATACTACTTATTTTTTCAGGTCAGTCAAAATCAGACAGAAGAGAAATATGATTAGGTCTCTTATTGATGAGGCTGGTCTTAGGGTTACCGATTTGGAGGGTATGACTAAGATAGCAGAAGATTTCTACATCAAATTATTGGGAGAGGAGGATAAAGAGGTGGTTGCACCTAAGGTAGATCAGATTGGAAGTTTACTGTTAAAGAAGCTAATCCCTGCTCAGGGGGTTGACTTATGCAAACCAGTCACTGCAGAGGAAGTCAGAGCCACAATGTTTGGCTTTAATGGGGACAAAGCCCCTGGCCCAGATGGATATCCAGCTTGCTTCTTCCAGGCAGCTTGGAGTATTGTGGGAGCTGAGGTAACAAGTGCTATCTTATACTGCTTTCAAGTGTCTAATATCCCAGTAAGTGTTAACCTCACACTTTTAGCCCTCATACCTAAAGTTCATAGCCCAGAAGAAATGAAGTTTTTTAGACCAATAGCTTGCTGCAACATATTTTATAAGTGCATAGCTAAGATACTTGCAACTAGATTAAGTGCAGTTATGCCTTGTGTCATTAGTGAATCCCAAACTGCTTTTGTTAAGGGTCGAATCATTGGGGAAAACATTTTGTTGGCTCATGAACTAGTTCATAAGTATGGTAGGAAAAACATCTCCTCAAGATCCTTAGTTAAAGTTGATTTAATGAAAGCCTTTGACTCTGTAAACTGGGCTTTTCTGTTTAGAGTGCTTGAAGCCATGGGTTTTCCAAACAAATTCCTTGACTGGTTGAGAATGTGTGTTACTACACCAAAGTTCAGTATTGGTTTTAATGGTGGGTCAGTAGGTTTCTTCCCAGCCAAGAAAGGTTTGAGGCAGGGGGACCCTCTTTCTCCCTATCTCTTTGCTGTGGCTATGGAGGTTTTTTCTTGCTTGATGCATAAGGCTGTTACTCAAAATGCTATGCCCTTCCACCCAATGTGCAAAAGATTGCAGATTACCCATTTAATGTTTGCGGATGATCTCTTACTATTTTCTGATGGATCAAATTTTGGAATTCAGTGTATCCAAAAGGTATTGGATGAGTTTAGATACATGTCTGGATTGAAATCAAACCCTTCCAAATGTGAACTTTACTGTGGAGGTATTGATGATCAATGGCAGGAGCTGATGTCTCAGCATTCAAGGTATAAGCTGGGGTCACTTCCAGTTAGATATTTAGGTCTCCCTTTGCTCCCTGGTAAACTTTCCATCAAGGCTTGTAAGCCTCTTATAGACAAAGTTATGATTAGAATCAGTAATTGGAAGTCAAAAACACTCTCTTATGCTGGCAAACTTCAACTGGTGATGTCTGTGCTGTATATCCTTGCTCACTTCTGGATGTCAATTTTTATTTTGCCAAAGGCTATCATTAAGGCTATTGAGAAAATGTGCAGTGATTTTTTATGGGGAGTAGGAGAGGGTGCCAGGAGAAAAGCAGTGGTGGCTTGGTCTCGAATTACATATCCCAAACATGAAGGGGGGCTTGGTCTTAAAGATATGTATACTTGGAACCTTGCTTGTGTGGTTAGACATATCTGGGCTGTTCTGCTTAGACAAGGGTCATTATGGGTTGCTTGGCTATGGGAATATCGTATAAAAGGGGGCAATTTCTGGACTCTTACCTCTAAAGCAGGGTCTTGGTTATGGCAGAAAGTATTGAAAATCAGAGATAAACTCAGGGGGTGGCTCTCTGTTGCTGATGATGGGGTTTATTGGAAGGGTGCTCTTATGAAAAAATTATGCATAAGGAAGATTTGGGAGGAGCTTCGTCCAAAGAAGGGTAATGTAGCTTGGGGGAAACTGGTTTGGAAAGGAACTAGCATCCCAAAGAACCAATTCTTGGTTTGGCTAGTTATATATGACTGTATCACCAATGGAGAGAAGGTTCAAAGGTGGGGAGGTTCTGGTGACTTTGGATGTGCTTTCTGCTCTTGTAGCCTGGAAACAAGGTCTCATCTTTTTGCTGCTTGCTCTATGTTTAAACAGCTGTTTGCAGCTTTGTTTTGCAATTTTGCAGATCGAGTCCCTGGGGATCAATGGGATGGTGAGCTTCAGTGGGCCTTAAATGCTTTCAAAGGTTCCACTGTCTTAGCACAAACTGGGAAGCTGATTTGGCATGCTCTAATTGCGTCAATATGGAGAGAAAGATGCTTGATAAAGTTTGCAGGGAAGAAAACTGATTTCCATGCTTTGGTTCAGAGAGTCCAAGGAGATATAAGGGTGGTTGGAGATCCTGTAGTTGTGTGTTTGTTCTTTTGAGTAGTGGATTGAGTGATTAATCTGGTTTTAGTGTACAGGGGCCTGTTATTCCCTTTGCTCAGCTGGCAGAGATGTTGCCAGCATTGTACTTGGTTATTTGATGAAATGAAATCCCAACCGCTTCATAAAAAAAAGAGGTATAGTTTGTAATGAGAGAAGTTGATTTTTTACCTCTTCGGATGATAATCGCTCTGGTGCACGTCTTTTTTCTACAGCGCCGTTAAATTCCTCCTTTTGCTTGTGCTATTTATGATCCAATGGCAAAAAACGGCGATGATCCATGTAAAATTCCTTGCATCCTTTATTCAACCTCAAATGTGAGGTATTGCCTGCGCAGGAAGGGCATATGCCAATTTGCCTTTTGTACTCCAACCAGAAAGGAGACCATATGCCGGAAAATCGTTGATAGTCCACAACACTGCAGCTTTCATGTTGAAATTCACTTGCTTGAATTCATCATAAGTCATCATTCCTTCACTCCACAATGACTTTAGATCATCAATGAATGGTCTCAAATAGACATCAATATTGCTTCCTGGACTTTTCGGACCAGGAATGAGTAATGTCAATAAGAAATATGGACTCTTCATGCATAACCACGGTGGGAGATTATACGGGAACAAAATTACAGGCCATGTACTATGCTTGTTATTCATGTTGCCAAATGGATTGAAGTCATCCGTTGCTAGTCCCAATCGGACGTTGCGAGGGCCAGAACCAAAAGATGCATCATACTGGTCCAAAACTCTCCAAGCTTCACTGTCAGCAGGGTGCCTTAATTTGCCATCTCTGACACGTTGTTCGGCATGCCACACCATATCTTCCACAATCTTTCGCGACATGAATAAGCGTTGTAATCTTGGCTTTATGAAAAAAAATCTTTGTGTCTTGTAGAGTACCTTTGTCACTCTTCCTCTACTATCCTTCCTGATTTTCTTGTACTGTGGTTTCTGGCAGGAAGGGCATGTCGTTGCTCCTTTGAGCTTCCCATAGTAAATGACACAGTCATTTTCACAAGCATCTATGTCTTCATAGTTGAGCCCAAGGCCACTCAACATCTTTTTTGCTTGATAGTAATTCTTCGGCATTGTAGACTGTGCCATAGGGAAAGCATATCGAAGAAACTTGAACAACTGCGTAAAAGAGGTATTACTCCAAGAATTAAACCAGTTCAAATGCACCATCTTCACTAGGCATGACATGTTGGATAGCTTTTCATCACAACCTTCGTACAATGGCGTCTGAGACTCTTTGACCAATTTGAAAAAATTCTCTACCTCTACATTGGGATTCTCGGGGTCAGGATCCAAATGCGGTCTCAAATCATTCAGTAACCCCGACATGTCATCTACATCCATCTCGTTACCATCATCTACCGCATCCTCTGCATCCTTCTCTTTAGAATAATCATCATCATCTTTCTCACCATGGTAAATCCATTTAGTGTAATCAAGTGACTTTCCTCGTCATAGTAGATGTAGCTCAACTTCTCGTTTCTCCCTTCTTATAACATTACGACAGATCCACGCAAGGACACTGTATTTGTTGTCTTCGTCTTGAACATTGTTGAATGCCAATGTGATAAAATTTTGAACGCCATTCGTATACTCCATAGTTGATCTATTACGAAGCTGCATCCATGATTTATCAACACCTTCCATAAGCTACTAAAAAATGTAAAATATATTTTTAATTATCGGATTACAATTAAATGAAAGATAAAATTAACAATATATATATATATGGTGTTGTATTCGGTGCACCCACTTTTTCGGGTGCACTCAGTGCACCCGCCTCATAATTGTCATTCTGACCATGCGATTCATGTCAAAACGGTATCAATTGTTGCTTATGATATTATGAACAAGAAGCACATGAATTTGAAAAAAATTCATTCAAAATTTACTTTAATTCGAAGGATTTAGGATTTAGGGATTTAGTGTTAGGGTTTAGGTTTACAATTTGGGATTTTTGGTTGGGATTCAAAATTGAATGTTAAGGGGTTAGGGCAATGGATTGTGTCGCAACCGCCCCTCAAAATTGGGGGAATCCGTCGCGAATAGATCGGAGTCGCCATCGATCTTATTGGTGGTGGATCGAACACCTTTTTGTCTCGGTCTCGACCTTAGGGTCGAAACCAGGTTCTGGTCTGCGAATTTTTTAGAGAATCTGGGTTTGGGAGTACGATTACGTGCGAGGAAGTGTATTCACACCCCACAACGCCCAAAATTGGTACTACTTAAATTGATAAGTTTTAAGGGTTGGGTGTATTGTTATTATTTGGCTCTTTTACGTATTTAACTATATAAAATTATTTATAATTATTTTGGGTGTATTTTTAGAGTCCAATTGGACGATATGATTAGCGTAAATTTTTAATTGTTGTAGTTACGTGATAATGTTTACGTCTATTGACGTAAAAGTATTTTTTAGATTGGTTGCACTCGAACCTATTGGTTGCCTACGTACCCGACTTAGTCGGGATCAAAGTCCACGTAGTTCGTTTGCAATTTTGAGTGATAAATGTTGATGATCCTAACACGTTCTATTGATCGTGACTAGGATGATAATTCGAGTTATGAGGAAATGTATTTATGATGTTTCAATTTAGTGATTGAATGTTATATCTTTGAAAGAAATTCAACAAGAACGACTATCAAGGTCTATTGACCGAGATTTTGTATTAAGAAAATCTTCCAGGTAAACAAGGATATGTATGAAAAATAGAAAACTAAATGAGGGTAATAATTCAAAAGGTTTTAATATTTAGAAATGTTCAGAGTATCCCAGTTAAGCCAAACTAAAAAATTAACACGTTAAGTTGATATGGATTTTTCGTATTATGGATGTAAAAATAACAAAATTTATTAAGGGGTCGTTTGGAAGTTGTGATTGTTAAAGTTGTGTTTGTTGAATACAAGTATTGTGCACAATACAATGTTTGGAAGTGCCAAAGTGTAAAACAATGCATGCATTGTTTTCAGTAGGTCCCACCAACAATCACAAAAAATGATGCATTGTACAATCTGAACTAAAAGTTGAGATTGTTGCTTTTAGATTTGTGTAAAGTTTTTTTTCCATTTATATCCCTAAAAGTTTTTGTCTTATACTAAAATTAATGCATAAAGTAGAATCTCCACAACCAAACAATGTATTGTTAAAATGCATCCATTGTATCAATACATGCACTTGTATTATAGTGATTCATTACAATGCAACGATTTAACATTCGCAACTTCCAAACGACCCCTAAGGTAATTAAAGTGGTAAGTTAATTGAGCGATGGAGACTGGTAATTTTTACAAATTTGGGAGGGTAGTTAGGCCTTTGGTGGCCGTCTCTCAAGTCACCTCACTTCCTCTCTCTCTCTCGATTTCTTTCTTTTCCCTCTGCTCTGTACGAACCAAAAAGAAAAGAGAAGGTCTAGCGCCCTTTCCTCTTCTTCTCTTCATTTTTTCTGTTAAAGCAAGTGTCAAAGGGAAATCGGCACCCCTCCTTCGATTTGCCTAGTGAAGAGAAGGAAATAATAAATGAAAGACGGTGGCAGTGGTGAGAATGACGGTGGCTATTGGGGGTTCTTTGGGTTTGATCGAGGAGAAGAAGGAGGGAGTAGTCGTAGCACCATCGACGATGCCGGCGGCCGCAGGATGGGGTAGGTTACCCTTTTTAAGTTTGTTTATGGAAATTGGGGAATTTTTCGGATTTTGAAATTTGACTGGTATTTAGGGCAGTTTTTGGGTTTTGGCGATTAATGGCTTAAAACTCATATTTGGTGCTAAGTTTGGTTTTTGGTTAGGTTTTGGTACTTTGAAACCTGAAATCTGAAAGCTTGAATTTGGTTGTTTGTTTTGGTTGATATATTTGTGACCCAAAAAGATGAAATATTGTGATTAAAATTCCATGATTGGTTAAAACTAACAAAGTGGGGAAATAAGTTCATTAATACGCTGCAAACACTGTTGTTGCTTGTGATTACCAAGTGTTTTGGTTATTCTCTATATGGATTATACATTATAGCTTAATATAACAATAAGAGGACAACCCTCTTAAACAAACTAAGCAAAGAAAGTAAGCTAAAATATGATCAATATAGATGGCGAATAACGTAAACAAAAGCGGGGAATGATAAGGATTTTTGGGAAATAGTCATTTTATACTTTGATTGGAGTTGCTTGGGTTTGGTTCCTCTTAACTTTTCAGATCAAGTTGCAACTTAATTAAGATTGGCTTAGTATTCTTCATCTTTTAAACGAAATTAGTCCACTTATAGTTTTCTTGTGATGATTGGGTTTCAGTTTTGGAAGCTTTACATAACTAGAAAGAAGTGATTGCTATGGATGAAGATGATGATGACGATAGTTGTATGATTGAGTTCAGTGTTACCAACCTTTGATTGTTTGTAGCTTGGAGATGACTCTGCCTCTTTTTGCCCAGCTTCTGTGGGATTTTGCTACCTCCTCGTATGCTTCTTTTTCTCTTTTTTCGTTGGTGCTGTGTGTCGACTAAGAAGGAAAGAAGTAGTTCTTTATTTCTTGTTTTTCTGTTTGTGACTTCTCTTGCTAGGTTGTTTGTCTCTTTTCTAAGAACAGAGGAAGTGGAAGAAGGGAGGCAGCAGGGAAGAGTGCCAAATATGGTTAAGATGAAGAGAACAGTCAGAAAGAGCCCCCCTCTTCTGTTTTGTGAATGCTTGACGTTTTTTCTGCCCCTCCCAGTCCTTTGCTCTGGCTTCTCTTTTCTGTATCCCTCTGGTTCTTGGTTGTGTTTAGGAAAGGGACTGAAGTGTGTTGGTGTACATCGGCTAAGAAGAAAAAAGGACGCAAGGGATAAGGTTTCTCTATTTTGGCTTCTCTTTTCTGTCCGTGTGTGGGTTTTGAGCGAGAAGGAGAGAGTGTAAAGGGAACTTTTGTTGTTTTATCTTACTTTGTTTAGGATTGTTGTGGCTAAAGAGGCAGAAGGATAGTTGGAATTTGCAGAGTTTCTTCTCTTTTTCTGTTTCTTGATCAGAAAAGCAGATGAAGAAGAAGAAGAAAATAAACAGAAGCTATCTGTTAAAACGATGGGAAGGAGAAGAAGCCCTCCTCCAAAAAACCTCCCCTCATGTAAGAGAAAATGAGCTCTTTTTATAAGAAAAGGGGCTTGTTCCCCAAGTTTGCTACAGTACCGGTTTGGTTTTGGGTTGAACCGGTCTGGTTGTGTCAGAGCTGACCAGATTGACTTTGTTGACTTTATTGGACTTTTGTTGACTGTGACTTTAACAGAGTTGACTTTCGTTTACTTTTGGTATAGGCTTTGACTTCGCCAATTTTAATGTTTTTATTTTGTATAATTGTAATAACATCTGTAATTGTGATTTATTTTAATAAAATACCAGTCCTTGCCCTTAATTCGACTTATCTGTTATTGTTTTGAAATCAAAGTCCAATTTTTCCATGAATCAATATTTTAAGGATCAATTCAATGGTTAACTCACATTATCGCCAAGTGGTTAATCAAATTGAAAAAATTGAGATTTGTTATTGCTAAACTCATTGATCAGAATTGTACAAAATGAGATTTGCTATTGCTAATCTCATTAAGTTATGAAAAATATGACGTGTTCCAACCACTGTATATACGTTTTAGCTATAAGGTAATTTAAGATTCACTATTGTAAATCTTAAAAAAAATTAAATTTTGTTTAATTGGATATCTTAACCTGGACAAAAACAGGTGTCTACAGTTGCCCCCCTTTGTATATCTTTTAGTTTTTAAGAGGTATACAAAGTTATCATAGCACACCATTTTGATCGGTTTACTAATATTGTGACGGTTTAGAGTTTGGTCTACTGACCAACTCACCAAGAGCATTATGAACATTGAGTTCATTGATCAGTTCCCACTCTGTGTAGCCAAAATAGGTCGCTGATTAGTTTGTAGTGTAGTTATCCTTTGCGGTGTAGCTGCCTGTCGCAGTGTAGCCGTGTCATGTGTACTAACTAGCTCCCTGGCAGTGTAGCTGAGATGTAGGTGCCAACTAGATTCCCTCGCTGTGTAGTCGTGTCATGGGTACTAACTAGCTCCCTGGCAGTGTAGCCGAGTTGTAGGTGCCAATTAGTTTCACACGTAGTGTAGCCTTCTAGTGGGTCCTTATTAGCTCCCTCACAGTGTAGCTGACCTGTGGGTTCTATTTGGTATCCCTCGCAGTGTAGCCTTCTTACGGGTCCCGATTGGTTTCCCTTGCAGTGTAGCCTTCTTATGGGTCCTGATTAGTTCCCTCGCAGTGTAGCCTTCTTGTGGGTACTAATTGGTTTCCTTCGCGGTGTAGCCTTCTTCGCAATGTAGCTTTCTTATGGGTCCTAATTAGCTCCCTCGCAGTGTAGCCTTCTTCACAATGTAGCTTTCTTATGGGTCCTGATTAGCTCCCTCGCAGTGTAGCCTTCTTGTGGGTGCTGATTGGTTTCCCTCGCAGTGTAGCCTTCTTCACAATTTAGCTTTCTTATGGGTCCTGATTAGCTCCCTCGCAATGTAGCCAACTTGTGGGTGCTGATTGGTTTCCTTCGCAATGTAGCTTTCTTCGCAGTGTAGCCTTCTTATGGGTCCTGATTAGCTCCCTTGCAGTGTAGCCTACTTGTGAGTACTAATTGGTTTTCCTCGCAATGTAGCCTTCTTCGTAGTGTAGCCTTCTTATGGGTCCTGATTAGCTCCCTTGCAGTGTAGCCTACTGTGGGTGCTAATTGCTTTCACTCGCAATGTAGCTTTCTTCGCAGTTTAGCCTTCTTATGGGTCCTGATTAGCTCCCTTGCAGTGTAGCCTACTGTGGGTGCTAATGGGTTTCCCTCGCAATGTAGCTTTCTTCGCGGTGTAGCCTGCTTCGCAGTGTAGCCTTCTTGTGTTTGAGGATATGCAGAGTTTTTTTAAACCTTAATCATAAGTGACATGGAGTTGTATGTTTGATAGGAAATGTTAAAGCAACCAATTGAGAAATTCTAGACGAAATTCAGATAGGTCTAGAACTTGAACTTGCAAAGTTTGTATGTGATGTCAAATGTTTATGATTATATGATATGATGCAATATCATAGTGAGATATGTCAATGAAAATGTTCTTTCACTTTAAGTAAACTTTGAAAATTATTGGTGTTTACTTTAGCTATGAATTTCTTGATCTACCTAATGAATGATGTCATATGATTAGTTTGAAGTGCATTCAGAAATTATGCCATATGATGTATGTGAAGTGCATTTGAAAATGGTTGTATGATGAGTCATATGATGATGTCTTGAAGGGTATGCAAAGGAAAGAGCATAATGCCTAATCACGGTCTTGTTGTTATGGTAATGAACTCTCTTAAATTGATCACCCACAAGGAAAATATGTCATTCCCCTTTAGCAAACTTGATCCTTAGCGATGCTTGCATTTGAGTAACATGGGTGTCGTCGGTGGGTACTTTTTTTCTTCGACTTGAGCCATCATCTCGACGTATTGGGCTTGCCATCTAGTATTTCCTCTTTGTCTACTCATTGAGCCCAAGGTATTGCCATTTATGGGGATTGATGGAAGGTTGGTCCTCTGCTTTCTCCACCTTGAACACTAGTGCTTGAGTGGCTAATGTGTTAGCCATATGATTTTCTTATCATGGGGTGTGCTTGGTACTTTGCGTCTATTGGAGGATTGGTAGTGTGGTGGTCAGAGGATAATGTGCTCCCTTAGCTCGATTTATATTCTTGTTATGTGAGTATGTCGTGTTTAGCTAAAAGGAATATGTTATCTCGGGTATTGTCTTGTTGATGTCGGTTTCCAAAATATGCTAGATTGACTTCGCCGGAATGTGTTAGTCACAGAATACGTCATGGGAGGATAGTCGATCGACCCGTTGCTCCAACTAGTGAAGGGTATCTTGAAATCTCACAATAAATTAGTGAGAAGATTGAGTATTGAACCTGTGAGAATTTCAAATTCTCCATCTTCAAGGCCACATCAAGCTGTATCCCAAGATCTGTTGTGCACTTTCATCTTGTGGTGTGTCCAATCGGTGCCAACTGTTGGGTTGCTTGTTGCTCAAGGTAGGGTTCCATGTATCTTCTCTTGAGTAATCATGGTATATTGGTAGTCATGAGCCCCTTATAGCAGAGTTGCTTTAAGGATGATTTGACCGAATAGTAGAATTGCTTGAACGGAGTGATTCAATGTTTCTTGTTTACTCATGATTTAGAGAGTAGGGAAACCCACATTATAAGTATGTGCACTTCTTTCTGTGCTGGGTCACACCATTTGCCCCCGAGAAGATGTTACTTGCTTTCCACTCTATGAAACAAAGTGTAACTTTTGCCAATCTTGATTTAAGACGAATGCAAACAATGTTTGACAAATCTTGTTTGAAATAGTATAATGGGAACCTGATTTTAGAAATGAAAGCCTCATTTGAGGGAAGTGTGTGCAATTTTGAGAAAAATAATTTATTGTGTGATTATTGCCACATTGTTAAAAATTTGTTTTTTATAAGCCATGCCATGAGAATATTCATAAGCCCTCGCTCTCATTCTCACTTTCAAATCACTCTCACTCAATCCTATGGGTGTCTTGAGTATACGATACTTCAGCTGCTATCAAGATTCTCGTCACCATGTGGATGGGAAAAATGTGTTCAAGGTAGAGACTGATCATAGAGAGAATGGGTGATCTTTGTATGGTCCTGTCGTAGGATGTCTTGAACTTTTCATAAATGAGGCTCTTTTATGATATGGGTTCCAATCGTAAGAGTTTTCGTGTTTTGGGAAGTTTACTTTCCCCAGATGAGAGCCGGGTAAAGGAAATTTATATTAAATTTGACTTTTGTCATGTGAAACTTTGTGTTGGAGGATATTTGGCTTGCCCCGAGGGTATGAGACGAGTTGATGGATAGAGGGGATCTTTGTCGAGGAAGTTTTATTTTCCACGAGAATGGTAGTTCATCTTGGGTACATTTTGAATCACGTTGCCTACCCGTCTTGAAATCTTGGTTTTAAGGTGTAAGCTCGAGTGGCGAAGTAACTGAATTCATTTGAGTATAAACTCCATTTTTGAATTCCTCTCGCTTATAGAGGTCTCAGTTTGATCTTGAAAGGATGGATAAAGGAGGTCTAGGTATAATGCAGGCTCTGACTTTTGTTTGGCAGGCATGGCTGCTGAAGTCTTCATCATGGGGTTCTTGCTCCACTTGAAAATGTTGGATAATAGGGACCATCGTGGGATATACTTTAGCGTATATTGATATTCTCATCTTGGTAATCCTTCTCATTGGGTTCTCTTGGGTTATTTCTTCATACTAGGTAGGCAGGTATATTTTGGTTTAGAAAGTCGTGTCAATTGGTGGCTAGCCCACTTGGTGTATAGATTTTGCTGGTTGAGAAAATGGTCATACATTGTGCTCTTGTGACTACATTGAAGCTCAAACTAAAATGATATTTTTGGGCCTATGGTATATAGACCATACTCAGGGGGGATCTAAATAGTAAGTCCCAAAACAGTTTTCTTTTTTTATTTTCTTTTCTTTTTCTTGCCTTATTGGCTTTTTTACTCTTTTTTATGTGGGACCTACTTAAACTTTTTATGCCCCCATACATGTGGTCATTTTTTACTTTTCAGATTTTGGTACACAAGCATCGAATGTTATGAACGTTGTGATCGTGTTGATCTTTGTGAGCAGTCCTTTTTGTTGGCTAGGCGAATTGTTCGTTCCCTTCTCGAAGAATAAAGATCACTGATGTCGAGTCTTTATTGTGTTGTTTGAGTATTTTTTCCGCTCGAGCATTGGACTTTGAAGCATGGAAAATTTTGTGCTTATTCCTCAACCGATTATATGGGTTTTATGCGTTCCCTAACCTTCTAGCAATGAGGGTTTCACGAGAACATGGCTATTACGATGTAGACATCTTGCTTGTTATGGATAATAGTTCGACTACTCGAGCTTGTATCTAGTTGTGTCCTACTTTGGTAGAGATTGGTTATGGTAGTGACAAGCTTCTACAAGTAGCCTGGTATCGTATCTTCGTTACACCCTTTGACTATTTAGCTCGCATTATTTATGGACACCAGTGGGGTGTTTATACTCTCAAGTTTAGTAAACTAAGCAGACTCTCAACATTAGCGAAGCGCTCAAATTCATTACACCAATAGGGTGTTTATAATCACTCTGCACCAATGGGGTGTTCAAACTCTCAATATCAGTAGGGCGTGCACAGTTTGATTATTAGCGGGGCGCAAAAAAATTTACACTGAAGAATGTAATCACTCGACACCAATGGGGTGCTTATGGTTGCTTAATATGAACATCTCATGGCTTAACTTGAAAATATGAAATGCATTTTAAGGATCCCATTTAAGAGAAGAAAAGTTGATTTTAAAGATTTGGAAGAGATGTTTATCATTTGGTAAAGAGAAGGATCATTGATGCAAACTTCTAAACAAGATCGATAGTAGTCACACAATATTTCAAATCGGTGGAAATGCAAATGACATTTTATTCTTCATGAAGAACACAAAGGCTGGTACATTTATTGAATATGCTAAAGTGTCTCGACATTTATTTGCTTACGAGGATCAACAACATCATCGAATCGAGTCTTGTTTCGTGGTAAGCCTACTGACTTGCATGATCAGGCAACAGGTTGTTGTTGATGCCGAGATGATTTGTATCTCCTTCAAATTTCAACCAACCAAAATTCACCATCTGTTGCACCTTTATCTTCAGTCTCCTACAATCCTCGGTGGAGTGTCCCGCTACTCCATAGTGGTACTCACAATGTTGCTCTAGCTTATACCAAATTGGGTAAGGAGGTTGTATTTGTTGGCATGGTATAGGAGCAATCAAATGCTTTTGGACTAGTTGTGGAAAAAGCTCGGCATATGCAATGGGAATGAGATTTATTTGAATGGTTTTTCTGCATCTCCCACCACTGTTTTGGTTTTGTTTATTTGGTAGTGGGGTCTCGAATAATGGAATTTGGATCCCTATTTGTGGGGCGAAGTTTGGTTGTTGCATTGCTGGTATATTGTTTGTGACATATGAGTGAGCTTGATTGTTTTGAGGTTGGAACTTTAACATCCTCCCTTTTGCTTCTCGTTGGGTTGAATGGACTTTCATTTCCATTTTGTCATGGCTTGATCTCGTAGGAGAATCCGAAGTTCCCATCCTTCCTTGTTTAATTCCGTTCTCTATTCATTCTCCAATTAACGACAAATCATTGAAGCTAGTTGTTGTAACTCCCAACATGTTGTTATAAAATGGAGGCTTCAATGTATCAAGGAATATTGATACCATTTCTTCTTCTGGTAGTGGGGGTTGAATACAAATTGCTTTCTTTTTCCACCTCTGAGCATACTCATGGAAAGATTCATTCTCATCCTTCTCCATATCTTGCAAGTCTTCCCTATTTGGTGACAGAGTTTGAGGGGCCTTGTGGTGCATCATAAACTCAGTAACTAGATCTCCCCATGTTCCCGCCTTAGTTTTCTCGAGCTGGAGGTACCATTACAAGGCATACCCCTTAGACTATATTGGAAACATCTCATCATCAACTTCTCGTTTTGAGTATGGTTGGCCATTGCATGATGATACATGACCAAATGACTTCTAGGACAAGTAGTGCCATTATATTGTTCGAAATTTGGCATTTGAAATTCATGGGGGAACACCATGTATGGAACTTCATGTGGATGCGATGCATTAATAGCCTCGTATGATTCAAATTCTTTTATATTCTCACCCATGCACTCGCTTTTGCCTTTCAATGTTGTGTTGATCTCTTGCTCTTCCAAATCATTTAAATCGTGTAAGTTATCTTGTTTTGATTCTTTAAGATCTTCTTAATCATACATGTTCTTCGAAGATATGGAGTCAAACTTGTTACTGGATGTTCCTTCACCGTGTGTTGGCATAAGTTTTCGTCCTTGCGTAACACATCACCATCTTTGACTTCTACTGCCTTCTCCTTGTTGGTCAATATGCTCAAGATCATGCTAACTTCTTCCTTCATGCCTTCGAGTCCCATCACCCTTCTTTTGATGTCGTCCAATTCCTTCTGGATTAACTCCATAGTGAGCTCGGCCTTGGATTTGGTCGAGTACTTAAGGGTTTGACGTTATCCTCGTGGATGAGCAACCTTAGAGAATCCCAATTTTGTTAAGTCGTTTCATGGTTCTAAATGAGATGAATGCATGATGGTTATGCTCACTAATAAGATTGTAAATGCAACGTATTTTTCAGTGGATGCATATGTACTTTGTAACATGATTAATATGAATGAATGAAGAAATGATGGTGTAATGAGTTTAAATTTTTTCACACATACAAATAAATTACTGTCATTCACGAATGTTTTGCAAAACACACATTCCACGTATAAGCAAGACAAGAACTGATCATAGGATAAATTCTTTCACAAACTTTGCCTTATTGAGGTAAACCTAAGGTATTTCGGCAGCATAACATTGTGTTTTTGGGTAGGCTCTGGGATAAGTTGCGGTTTAGGTAGTTTCTAGGCAAACTATATGCTGGATAGGGATCTTAAGGAATCAGGCTCCCAAGTTGTACCGCACTATAACCCTTTCGAGTTTTAGCATGATACCCCAAATCATCCTCAGATTTGAGTTCAACTTGGTTGGGAAGTTTTCGCATTTCCCCTACTATTGTAGGAGTCACACTACTTTCTTCCCTTTAAGGACCGCTCGGGAATAGAGCTTTATGCATGGATGCAAAAAATTGAAATACATAAAAAATTTAAAGCGCAAATTGATGTAATAAACATATAACACCCATTATAAGAAAGTAGGAAAAACTTATCGACGATTAATGTAGTTTGACTCTAGTATGTCCCCAGCGGAGTCACCACTGTCGCAACCGCCCCTCGCAATCGGGGGAATCCGTCGCGAATAGATCGGAGTCACCATCGATCTTATTGGTGGTGGATCGAACACCTTTTTGTTCCGGTCTCGACCTTAGGGTCGAAACCAGGTTCTGGTCTGCGAATTTTTTAGAGAATCTGGGTTTGGGAGTACGATTACGTGCGAGGAAGTGTATTCACACCCCACAACGCCCAAAATTGGTACTACTTAAATCGATAAGTTTTAAGGGTTGGGTGTATTGTTATTATTTGGCTCTTTTACGTATTTAACTATATAAAATTATTTATAATTATTTTGGGTATATTTTTAGAGTCCAATTGGACGATATGATTAGCGTAAATTTTTAATTGTTGTAGTTACGTGATAATGTTTACGTTTATTGACGTAAAAGTATTTTTTAGATTGGTTGGACTCGAACCTATTGGTTGCCTACGTACCCGACTTAGTCGGGATCAAAGTCCACGTAGTTCGTTTGCAATTTTGAGTGATAAATGTTGATGATCCTAACACGTTCTATTGATCGTGACTAGGATGATAATTCGACTTGTGAGGAAATGTATTTATGACATTTCAATTTAGTGATTGAATGTTATATCTTTGAAAGAAATTCAACAAGAACGACTATCAAGGTCTATTGACCAAGATTTCGTATTAAGATAATCTTCCAGGTAAGCAAGGATATGTATGAAAAATAGAAGCGTAAATGAGGGTACTAATTCAAAAGGTTTTAATATTTAGAAATGTTCAGAGTATCCCAGTTAAGCCAAACTAAAAAAATTAACACGTTAAGTTGATATGGATTTTTCGTATTATGGATGTAAAAATAACAAAACTTATTAAGGTAATTAAAGTGGTAAGTTAATTGAGCGATGGAGACTGGTAATTTTTACAAATTTGGGATGGCCGTCTCTCAAGTTACCTCACTTCCTCTCTCTCTCGGTTTCTTTCTTTTTCCCTCTGCTATCTAGGAACCAAAAAGAAAAGAGAAGGTCTAGCGCCCTTTCCTCTTCTTCTCTTCATTTTTTCTGTTAAAGCAAGCGTCAAAGGGAAATCGGCACCCCTCCTTCGATTTGCCTAGTGAAGAGAAGGAAATAATAAATGAAAGACGGTGGCAGTGGTGAGAACGACGGCGGCAGTGGCAAAACGACGGTGAGTGTCAATGCCGGAGATGATGACGACGGTGACGACGATAGTCGTAGGTAGGTATCCTTGGGTTGCAAGTCTTTGTTTCGTTCGATTTCGACTTTGGATAAGTGTTTGATGCATGGCTATTGGGGGTTCTTTGGGTTTGATCGAGGAGAAGAAGGAGGGAGTAGTTGCAGCACCATCGACGATGTCGGCGGCCGCAGGATGGGGTAGGTTACCCTTTTTTAAGTTTGCTTCTGTAAATTGGGGAAGTTTTAGGGTTTTGAAATTAGACTGGTATTTAGGGCAGTTTTTGGATTTTGGCGATTAATGGCTTAAAACTCATATTTGGTGCTAAGTTTGGTTTTTGGTTAGGTTTTGGTACTTTGAAACCTGAAATCTGAAAGCTTGAATTGGGTTGTTTGTTTTGGTTGATAGATTTGTGACCTAAAACGATGAAATATTGTGATTAAAATTCCATGATTGGTTAAAACTAACAAAGTGGGGAAATAAGTTCATTAATACGCTGCAAACACAGTTGTTGCTTTTGATTACCAAGTGTTTTGGTTATTCTCTATATGGATTATACATTATAGCTTAATATAACAATAAGAGGACAACCCTCTTAAACAAACTCAGCAAAGATAGTAAGCTAAAATATGACCAATATAACGTAAACAAAAGCGGAGAATGATAAGGATTATTGGGAAATAGTCATTTTATACTTTGGTTGGAGTTGCTTGGGTTTGGTTCCTCTTAACTTTTCAGATCAAGTTGCAACTTAATTAAGATTGGCTTAGTATTCTTCATCTTTTAAACGAAATTAGTCGACTTATAATTTGCTTGTGATGATTGGTTTTAGTTTTGGAAGCTTTACATAACTAGAAAGAAGTGATTGCTATGGATGAAGATGATGATGACGATAGTTGTATGATTGAGTTTAGTGTTACCAACCTTTGCTTGTTTGTAGCTTGGAGATGACTTTGCGTCCTTTTGCCCAGCTTCTGTGGGAGTTTGCTACCTCCTCGTATGCTTTTTTTTTCTCTTTTTTCGTTGCTGTTGTGTGTCGACTAAGAAGGAAAGAAGTAGTTCTTTATTTCTTGTTTTTCTGTTTGTGACTTCTCTTGCTAGGTTGTTTGTCTCTTTTCTAAGAACAGAGGAAGTGGAAGAAGGGAGGCAGCAGGGAAGAGTGCCAAATATGGTTAAGACGAAGAGAACAGCCAGAAAGAGCCCCCCTCTTCTGTTTTGTTAATGCTTGACGTTTTTCTGCCCCTCCCAGTCCTTTGCTCTGGCTTCTCTTTTCTGTCTCCCTCTGGTTCTTGGTTGTGTTTAGGAAAGGGAATGAAGTGTGTTGGTGTACATCGGCTAAGAAGAAAAAAGGACGTAAGGGATAAGGTCTCTCTATTTTTGCTTCTCTTTTCTGTCCGTGTGTGGGTTTTGAGCGAGAAGGAGAGAGTGTAAAGGGAACTTTTGTTGTTTTATCTTTCTTTGTTTAGGATTGTTGTGGTTAAAGAGGCAGAAGGATAGTTGGAATTTGCAGAGTTTCTTCTCTTTTTCTGTTTCTTGATCAGAAAAGCAGATGAAGAAGAAGAAGAAGAAGAAGAAGAAGAAGAAGAAGAAAAATAAACAGAAGCTGTCTGTGGAAACGATGGGAAGGAGAAGAAGCCTTCCTCCAAAAAACCTCCCCTCATGTAAGAGCAAAGGAGCTCTTTTTATAGGAAAAGGAGCTTGTTCCCCAAGTTTGCAACAATACCGGTTTGGTTTTGGGTTGAAACGGTCTGGTTGTGTCAGAGCTGACCAGATTGACTTTGTTGACTTTATTGGACTTTTGTTGACTGTGACTTTAACAGAGTTGACTTTCGTTGACTTTTGGTATAGGCTTTGACTTCGCCAATTTTGATGTTTTTATTTTGTATAATTGTAATAACATCTGTAATTGTGATTTATTTTAATAAAATACCAGTCCTTGCCCTTAATTCGACTTATCTGTTATTGTTTTAAAATCAAAGTCCAATTTTTCCATGAATCAATATTTTAAGGATCAATTCAATGGTCAGCTCACATTATCGCCAAGTGGTTAATCAAATTGACAAAATTGAGATTTGTTATTGCTAAACTCATTGATCAGAATTGTACAAAATGAGATTTGCTATTGCTAATCTCATTAAGTTATGAAAAATATGACGTGTTCCAACCATTGTACCCATATCATCATATTATATTGAGAGTACTAATTAAAGTTCGAAATTTTATGTATTATGAATGCACCCAAAAAAGTGAGTACACCGAAGTAGCCACCATATATATATATATATATATATATATATATATATATGCAACCAAATAATTGTATTAAATTTTTCTTAGCAACTAAATTGAAAATATAGCTTATGTAAAAAAAACAATTAAATTAAAAAACCTACATCTTATGCCCTTCTTCTCAATAAGACCCTTTTTATATTTATTTTTTAATTTAGCTCATCAATTGATTTAATTTATTCTCACCAAAAAGGAGAACAAAACACTCCATCTTCCTTCTCGGCTCCTCGCATGCATTCTATTTAAACCCTTTCCTACCCGATTTCATTTTTGCTCACTTACCCAAAAGATTGAGGCAATTTCAAGTCTGTCGATGATGGAAGATTGGGGGCGCGGAGGAGATGACGACGGTATTTCCAATTGCTGCGGCGGTTGGAGAATTGGGGTGCGCGAAGGAGACGTCACACCCGCCTTTGATTGCTCCGATCGGGCGATTCTTTGAGCAGTGTGGACGAGGCGGCGCGGCGGGAGCCCAATCCTCTGATGGGTCTGGATTTTAGAGCGGATTGCGTATCGAGCGAGACGAATGAGGGCAGAGAGGTGAACTTCAATTGCCGGAATTTGGGTTCCTTTGCCTTTCTTAGTCGGCGGAATATAGTTTTGTTTGCTTTTCTTCCGATTGGATGTCTAGAAGTATTTCAATTTATATGCATAGCCTTTAAATGATGCGGTCTGATTTCTTCAATTGCAGGTCTAAATCAAACATGCATGCACCCACAAGGCATCTTAGAACTGTCTGAGATTGGGATTGAATCGGAATTCTAGGTAATCATCATCTGGTTCTTTGCACATCCATGCACAAATTGGGTCTGTTCTGGGTTAGCTCAATTTCTTTTACTTTGAATTGGTGCCTGAATGTCAAATGTGGACAATTTTTAGTTCGTTTAGTGAATGGTTCATTCAGGATATATACAAGGAATGTGGAAATTTTTTTTTTCCGTTTTGGTGAATGGTTCATTCATGTACCCACTATTTTCATTCCCCCCTGCTTTGTCAATTCTTCTCTCTGATTTAATATAGTTCGTTTAGTTGCGAAGCTTTAACTTTGGCCTCCCTGGTGCATCCTTAATTGCAAAAAACTAATTAACTTTAAAGGGTTAATACGCCAAAGAGGGATCTTTGGCCTTTTTTTAGGGCAACGAGATTTGCTCAAAAAATTTAAAGAACCAAAAACATTCCTTGTATATATCCTTAAGCCTCTTCGTTAGCCTAAAAAAAGGTAGGATTTTTCCCCCGTTTATCACACCACAATAACTACACACAACATGGCTCATTATTAATCTCTACTATCCATAAACACGCTTCAGTAGAGGCAAAAGGCAAAGGAACCCAAAAGACCTTTCTTCGTTCTCTGCCATTGTTTCTTCTCTGCCATTTTTATCCTCCCACTAACGAAATATGCTTCTCACTATATGGCAAAGCAAAAGAAATGCCTCCGTTATCAGAACCAGAGGGAAGAATCTACACCTCGTGACCTTGTGCAGAGCAACTCTCTGCCTCTTGTTTCAGAGATTCAGGAAGAAGGACAAATGGCAGGAACACCATTCCGCATGTTCCTGTTACTGAGACTCAGAGAACGGAGCAAAGAACCCATGTTACTGGATTGGAAGGAGAAACAGAGCAGGTTGATTTGTTTGCTCAACAATCAGCTGCGGATCTGTCTTCAGAGGGTGGAAGTTCGAATGGTGAGCCTCCATTTGTGGGTTTTTTTCTTAGTTTGATTTGCAAATGTCTTTGCATTAGCTGACTATAAGTTGTTAACTTGTGATAGGGACGACAAAAAATAGAAAAGGAAGAGGTCCAAGAAAGGGTGTCAAATCTGGGCACAACCTCTCCCTGGAATTTCACAACAACATGTCGGTAATAATGGGCCTTGGATTTGCAAAGTTCTTTTCATTAGCTGACTTTTGTTAGTTTAATGCTTATTTATAAACTGTGCAGGATAATTACCACTCAAGCAGCCCGCGAAATTTCAGCTATATTCAAAAGGAGCATCAATGGGCCTTGAATTACGTTCTTAGAGTATCCTGCGTCAGAGCTTCATACTGTGATAGCTCGTTTCAAGGACTCAAGATTCACTTACACTGGTTCAGAAGAGACTTTCAACAAAATGGTCAGACAACACGTGAAGAGAAACTATCCCCAGTGGATGTATGGTCTCTGAGACATTATTTTCACGAAATATAAGGATATGAATGAGAGAATGAACCATCCACCAAGGTCCATCAATTTGGAGGGAAATGGTTCAGAAATGGACTGACCCGAATTGGGTGGTAATTTGTATGCTTTGGTGTTTGTTATTTCATCCAAATATGTTTTGAATAGTGAGCTGATTGTTGGTTTGTTTCAAATTGAAGGAAATAAGTGATAAGAATAAAGAGAATCTGGGGAAGAGTGAGCTTGCAGCCACTGGCACTTCAGCACCTTTGGCCAAGTACAGACATGAAGAGGTAAGATGTTGCACTTTTTAATGTTTATGTTAGGCTTCAATTGTAATAAGTTTACATGTGTTAATGCAATGTTTTGTTTTTAATTGATTGGTAGATAAAACAAGCTGGAAAAGAACCTGATCCGATCGAAATGTTCGGATGTTTCCATGTGAAGAAGGACAAGAACTGGGTTAGCTCAAAAGCAAAAAACCTGCATGTAAGTTCAATAATGTTTACAGAGTATTAGGCTGCTGTTTGTACTAGTTTTTGTTGTCTTTTTTATCGATATTAATGTTGTTTACTCCATGATTAGGATGGAGGTGAAAAGGTATCCCAAGGAGAAGAACCAAACATATTTGCCATCTATCAAGAAGGGATAGGACCACAACACCCCAAGCGTGTTCTAGGGATGGGTCATGGGGTGAGCTCGGTTGATGTCTTTGGTCCCCCATCGAGTCAAGGGAGTCAGGATTGCAGCAAGCGTTGTCAGGAGGATCGAACCAAAGAAAGGAAAAAAATGATGAGAAAATGAAGAAGTTGGAGGATGACATTGTAGATGTGAGGAATGCAGTCCCTCACATTGTTGAATATATGTTGCAGAGGCTTGGAGTGCGGCTGCCCGAGTCATTCGACATGGTAAGTACTTTGCTGCCATGTTTTATTTTTTACTCATTACATAATTTTTGAAGCTATGTGATACGGGCATTTAGCCTAATTTATTTGTTACATTCTCTGTAGGATCTCTATAGTGAAGCGAATGGGGAACATGGTCGAGTTGGTGAAACTCATGATAACGATGCGTTCGATGACGAGTCCGATGAGGGGACTGCCGACGAGACTGCTGATGCTGCATGAACTTCTTTTTAATCCTATCGTAGGACTCTAAGTATCGCTTGACCATCAACATTCTCCGACATATGCCTCGATTGGTACAACAAACTCCCCAATGGAATCATCCACTCATTCGAAGAGTTCATACTCTTGTACACCACTAAGTTCGCGTCACAAAAAATAAGACCACTCCACCTCAAAGCCTTGATTGACATCAGGCAAAAGGATGGGGAAAGCTTGCGGGCATTCTACGCCAGATGGTCCAGGGTAGCAATGGCCGTGCGGGACCTCACCCCCGAAACCGCCGCCCATCACTTCATGGATGCCACTACAAACATGGAACTCAAGCGAGCTTTAGCAAAGAGGCCAATCACGCTTTCGACAGAACTAGAGGCCAAGATCGAGAAGGCCATCACGCTGGAAGAAACTTTGGGCGCGGTTTCCATCAGGTGCTTCGAACCCTCAAAGGCACCCAGAGAAGATCAGGGGCGGAAGCAGCGCCCATTATCGCGGGAGCAATTGGTACAGTCGCATAGCGGGTCCAGACGACAGCCCGCCCCACCAGAACAAGCTCTGCGAAGGCGCTCACAAGACAGACGCCCACAAAACACGATGCCCGCTTACACACCGCTCAACGATTCTGTAAAAAACGTATTTCATGTACTCCGCGAGAAAGGATACAAGATCAACTAGCCCGTGCCTGCTGCACCACACATGCGCGACCCAAGCAAGCATTGGCAATTTCACAGGGAGACGGGTCACTTGACTGAGGACTGCAGGGAATTGAGGTATGAAATATTGGGCCTCATTCGAAGAGGACTCTTGTCCTAGTTCATCCAAGGAGCGGAGGGGCAGAAAGAAAACGCGGAAATCCACCACCACCCACACAACTCGATTATGATGAGGCAACTGGCGCGTACCTAGTGCGGAAAGAAATAGGGGTGGTGACGGTTGAAGGAAGCCGCCCAAGCAAAAAGATTAAACGCGAGCGCACGATGGAATGCGCGACATCGGGGGTACAACCAAAGTGCCCCCCTAAGTTTCGACGATGCGGAATTCCCCCAAGGGATCCCGTCGGAAGACCCACTCACCATCACCGCGCTGGTAGCCGCCTGCAAAATTCATCGCCTGCTAATTGACGGGGGTAGCGCGGCGGATATTCTCTTCAAAAGCACCCTCGGCCAAATGGACATCGACCCGCGCCTAATCAAGCGCGCGGAAGGGAACTTGGTCGAATTCTCAGGAACGAGGGTCGCAGTGATCGGCGTGGTCACCCTCCCCGTCGTAATCGAAGATCAGGAGCCACGAGTCTCCAAGCAGGTTGAGTTCACCATTGTCGACTGCAACTCGCCCCACAATGGCATCTTAGGACAACCGTTCCTCGCCAACTTCATGGCTCTCTGACTGCTCTAAAACACAACACCTAACAAAGGCCAAGTGTAACCAATGGAAGGGACTGCAGTATAGTGGCTCAAGTGATAAATATCGAATCCACGACTCTCTAGAGTTACTATTACTCAGCTTCAGTTTATTATTTAGCAAACCAGATTAAGATGAAAGAACTAAAACTACTCTAGCAAACTACAGTTAAAGTTAATCTAATTACAGGTTGGGAACTCACTTAGGTATGATTCCCCCTAGCCACTAGCCAGACTAACGATTGATGATTTCTAACTTGTTTCACTTTCATTCACAATGCGGAGAATCCTTGTTTAGACCTTGAGTCTCGACTAAAGGAACAAGGCCCTCTTGAGTCAATTGCCTAGAGGGACGTATCCTTCTCTAGAACAGCTGATCAAGGCGTTCTGAACTAGACTCCCTCTATCGAAAGGGGTTCTCAATCGATACAAAGTAGTGCATCAACCCTCGACTAAAGCAATCGATCCACTACTATCAATCTATGGTGCTCTATTGACCTAATCAGGTATTCCCTCTCATAGGATCAAAGCAGAATCAATAATCTCGACTAAAGCAGAATTGAATCATGAAAACATGCATAGATTGAATATGAACTCGAGATTATCAAGTTAGAGTACTCATACAATCATCCAATCAAACAAACATAGCTAGGGTTCCTCAAAACCTAAGTGAAGGTGTAGACACCACATTTTGTCCGGAGCAATCATTCTAATTATATATATAAAAAACTAATTGTGCATCACAATGATTTTTGGAATGAAAGTTGAAATATTTTGGTTGAGATTAGCAGTGGCTAGTCAATAAGTACCATTGACTCCAAGCTTCAGTCTTATTTAATTCTAATATAAAATTGATCAGGAGTTACGCTAATGATTCCTATACAATTCTAGATAAATTATTTAAGATTTGTAGTGGCAAATCTAAAACTTCGATGACCAAAGCTACCCATGTCTAGTTTTGAGATTGACTCAATTGGATGAAAGTAATGGTAACTTTAATCTTATGGTTTGTTGGTCTACCGAGTAAAAGACTACTCAAGGTTTGCGTTTGGATTTGGATAGGACATAAGAGACGAACTCAATTGAATAAAGGAAATAGATGTTTTGTTTGTCAATTATACATCATAAAGGATTACATCTAGATGACCGTGATTAATATCCCATGAGCTCTTAAATACAATTATTAAGATATGCAAAAATAAAACGAAATACAAATCCAACCAAATGAAAACCCAAACTAGGCTTGAAGCCCATCCCCTTGGCGCTCAAACCAGCCACAGACCTGCAAAAAGAACCAAATTGAAACCAGTTCAAGCCTAGAGCTCGGCCCAACAAACATCCAGCCCAACTCGACCCGTTTTGAACCCAGGTGATTCCAGACAAGCCCACAAGTCTGCAAACCTGACTCGGCCCAACCTTATCCATCGGCCTAACCAGCACTGAATTGCGTGTCAACCCTATCCTGACCAGGCAGAACCGACCACTGTGTGGAAGTCTCACAATTTGCCTCACAATTGGCCAATGAAGAGAAGACATGTTACAGTTCGTTTTGCTTTAAATGAGCTCCTTGAGCTCTTCGTTGAGGGGGACGATTCCAACAAAGAGAAACAGACAAATATTCAATAAAAACACTAGCATCCGGTTTTCATTTTCGATCCTTCTTTGGTAGTTCAGTCCAGATATTTGAAGAGAAGCAAAAGGAGCTCATATTTAGGCCAGAAGCTTCAACCAGGTTGGTGTTTATACCCAGATACCTTCTTAATAAGATCTCATTTCATTTTGTCAAGTTTATAGTCAACCACCTTAATGTCAAAATCGTCAATCTAGCGTTTTACTTTAAAGCTTCTTTACATTCAAGCACTCCATTTACCAAGATCTGCTCGTATAAGCTTCATTAAGCTCTACCATTAAAGTTTCATTTTCCTCTCGTATTATTAGCTTCGTCTATGCTATTACTACTATGCTGATTGACTTAACTATGAGTAGAGGTGGATGTTTTGAGTTAATTTTCTGCCATACTTAGATTCCCTCATTCATAGTCATACATGGGCAAGTTAAAGTACAACTAGATAGAATATATATATTTTTTTTAGAAGCAAAAACCACTTTTAGAAGTTCATGGATGAACCTGAATCCACGATCCAAGAAAATCATTCAAGCACAATAAATTTCAGAGTTTAAAACCCATACCAATTTCGCAGAATCGCAAACAGTGGCGACGATTCATAGACGTTAAAAGTACCCATCTCTATTTCATTACACCAAGATCCATTTTTTACTACTTAGTTTAGGTAGAAGCAAATCCATAAATTTTAAGCTTTAAACCAAGCCTCCAAAACCGTATGTCATCAGAGGCACATACGCAAAAAGCCTCATTTTCTATCAAAAAGTTTTGGATCAAAACTACCAGATTCAAAACTCAATAACAAGCAAATCCCCTTTCTGAATTTATACCTCCTAACCATGCTAAGTGTAGTCCGAAAAACACCATTTCAGAATCATACGAACTCATACATAACCAGTTTTTATTGAAAACCAAAGATCTGTAAAGAAATTCTGAACCACAACACAATACTTTGTTATTTTTAGTTTAACTTCCCCAGTCATACTAAACTCAGTTTAGGATGATCCTTACCTAGATCTGCCCAATTTTCAAAACCTGTGTCAAAAAAAGAATAGAGGTCAGAATCGGTTAAAGGAATAATAAATCAAAAGTAAAAATCACAGAAACCAAAACATCACCTGTCGCCGTCGTCACACCACCGCCGGCAAAGGCTTGCCGACGGAGACCCTAGCCGCCAAAGTTGCCCTTATTCTCCCCTCGTCGAATCAAAAAAAAAATCAAAATACAATGAAAAAAAAATAATAAGAATTTGATTTTTGAAATAAAATAAAAAAAACCAAAAGAAAACCTGCATGCAAGGCAAGAATCTTACCTAAATCGTTTTTTTTTTTGTCAATCTGAAGCCTAATTGCTGTCGACCTTCCTATCCCCCTCGCATAAAACGAAAAATCAAGAAAAATAATCAGAATCCCAATCATAATCCAAGATCAGAATCATAAAACAAAAATGAAACCGGCAAATAACCCCCAAATCAACATGCAAACTAAGAAAACGAACCTTTAACTTCGCCTTTGTCGTCGCCCGGGATCCCTTTCCTCGTTTTCTTTGTCGATACCAGAAATACAGAGAGAGAACGAGAGAAGGAAGAGGAGAGTGTGGGGCCTCTTTCTCTGCCAGTCGTTTATGAAAAAGAAAGTGAGAAGAGAGAAGAGCCGAGAGAGAGAGGCGAGGGTTAGGGCGGCTGACGTCGATCTATAGGATTAGGGTTTCGTTGTTTTGCTTTTGGACGCGGGAGAAGGAAGAAGGAGAAGGCGGCGGTGTTATATGGTGGCTAGGGTTTCGCTTTTCTCTGTGAGTGAAGAAGAGAAGCGAAAGTTAGAGAGAGTTGAGAGAAGAACGAGAGAGAGAGAGAGAGAGGTGAGCGGCAGCCGATTTGGTCTGCTAGGGTTAGGTTTTGCTGTTTTTTTTTTCGTTTCAGACGTTTATATATCTTTCTGAAAGACCGAAATGCCCCTAGGGTTTTCAGCTTATTTCCTAGCCATGCCACCGCGTTTTTGGGTAATTCCAAAAATACCCTTCCCCCTTTCTGCATTAAAACGAAAAATCCCAAAAATCTTTTAGAATGGGGTTTCGAACCCGCGTCTGTTGGGTTGAGCTCGAGGTGATACTGGCGTTTTGGCCAGTTGAGCTGAAAGCTATTCATAAAAATGAATTTTTCCATTTCATCTTATAATCTAATATCCATAAAACGAAAGGTAGAATTGCGGATTAAGTTTATCTCGTTTCTTTTCTAATACATCAAATCTCATCTTAATAACTGAAAGCCTTATCTTTTCATAATTTCATAATATCAACTTAAATTTTATTAACAATAAATTTTGATAGCGAAACCACGATCAGCGGAACGTGGTAATGATTTTATTTAAAATTATCAAAGTCCAAACGAACTACGTGGACTTTGATCCCGTCTAACGGGTACGTAGGCAACCGATAAGGTTCGAGTCTAACTAACCAATTAACTTTATCTTTTACGACAGTGGGCGTACAATTAAATTACAATTAATACGATTCAATTTCTTTAATGGTCCAGTGGGACCCTCAAATTACAAAAATATTAAAAAATACACCCAACTCGTATAAAACTTATCGACTTAAGTAGTACCGATTTAGGGCGTTGTGGGGTGTGATTTCACTTCCCCACACGTAACCGTACTCCCGAACCCAAATTTCTTAACCGCAGACCATATCTCGGTTCTGACCTTAAGGTCGGAGCCGATTCGAAGAGTGTTCGATCCAATCCAAGTAAGATCGATGGCGACTCCCAAAAATGCCAACGCGACGACATTCGGACCCCCCCGGAGGGACGGTTGCGACAGAAGGGAAGTTACTCCATAGAGAAGAGAGAGACTGCAGTAAGAATCTTCAGATGATCAGTCTTCAAGTCTGGGCTTCTTCCTCGAGGTTCCAAGGCAAAGAAATCCTCCAATTCCACTCCAAGAATGCCCTCAAATCGCCCTCTCTCTCTTTGGTTCGTCCCTTGGGTGTTTGGGATCCAAAACCCAGCTCTCACCTTTCCTTTGGCTGAAAATCGGGTTTTAACCAGCAATTCCCGACTCACACGGGCAGGCCGCACGGCCGTGCAGCTCACCCAGTTGCCCGTGCGAGTCAAAACGCACCGTATGGATTAGTTGAATTCCAGGCTTCTTACACGGCCAGGGTCGCACGGCCGTGCAGCTCACCTTGCACGGCCGTGCAGATTTTCTGCTCTGCCCGTGTTTGCTCTCGCACAATCCCACACGGCCAAACTGGTCACTTGCACGGCCGTGTGGGTTGTGGGTGTGCCCGTGCGACTTTCTTTGTGACTTGCCTCGCGCCCGATCTTCGCCCAATCTACCCCGAACTCGCTCCTACACCTTCATTCACTTGCCAGGACCTGAAATATCACAAACAAGCACAACCTAGCGTGAAATCGGTCTAAAACACAAGAAACCACATCTCAAACGGTGTAAGAACAGGGGTGAAAACATGTGTAACTAACGGTTTATCAAACTCCCCCACACTTGACCGTTTGCTTCTCCCCAAGCAAACCTAACTCAAACCAATGCAACTCTCCAAACCTCTATAGCAACAAACACCCCAGATCGTAGGTAGAGGACTTCCTAAATCATTTAGCAGCTTACGAGGTCAACCGACGCACAAGTCATCTCAAAGCTTCTTCGGCGAGAGCACTAATATCGAGTCGGCATCATGGCAAATAGTGAACAGAGGACAAATGAATTATGGATGAAGAGATTCTCAAAAACACCCCTTTTCTTTCTGTTCTGCTTGTTATCTGTGTTTTTTTTTTCATGGGTCCCAACCGGCTCTTACCGGCCATGCCAGGAGCGGATGTCTTGAGCCTCGTGCGGGGGAAAGACATGTAAGGCGGCTGGAGGTAGTAGGTGGAAATTGGGAACGAATTCCCGTCTCCCCTTACACACTTTCGCCCTATTCGCACGGGAGACGTTATTTTGAAGCACATTTTCGAGCACCTGTTAAACTCAAAACATGATACAAGAGTCCATGACAGGTAGAGAGTCCACAACACCACCAAATCCCAATGTCCCGCGAAGATGAGGAGAAAACGGCCTTCATGACACCGTTCGAAATTTTTTGCTTTGTCGGAATGTCGTTCAGCTTGAAGAACGCCGGCCCCACCTACCAAAGAATGATCGACTCAGTGTTCTCACTACAGATAGGGTGAAACATTGAGGCGTATGGGGATAACCTCATCGTTAAAACCAAAACAGACAACTCACATTTGCAAAATTTGCGCGACACTTTTGAGGCACTCCGCGAACACAGCCTCCGCTTAAACCCACTGAAGTGTGTGTTCAGAGCAGAAGCGGGAAAGTTTATGGGATTTCTTATCACCAAGCGCGCTATCGAAGTCGACCCAAAACAGATCGCCGCAGTCCAACAGCTGCGGGGGCCGAGGAGCGCATTGGAGATACAATCCTTAAACGGCAAGATAGCGGCACTGGGAAGGTTCATACCAAGGTCAGCCGACAAGTGCGCTCCTTTCTTCAAAATGCTTAAAAACAGCGCGCGATTCGCATGGTCCAAGGAATGTGAAGCGGCTTTCCAAGAACTCAAGTCATATCTTGTATCCCCCCTGTATTAACCGTCCCTAAGCTTAATGAAAAACTTTATCTGTATCTTGCCGTGTCGACAAGAGCTGTGAGCGCGATACTAATATCCAAGAGAGACGGCCAGACTAACCGACCCGTGTATGACACATCGCCAACTATGGTTAGCGCCGAAACAAGATACTCCCCAATCGAGAAAGCCGCCCTGGCGCTGGTGAGCGCGTCGCAGAAATTACACCCCTACTTCCAAGCACACCCAATCACCGTCCTAACCAACCTTCCGCTAAAAAAGATCCTGGCCTCGATGGAAGTGTCCGGGAGGATGGTTAAATGGGCGGTCGAGTTGTCAGAGTACGACATCCAATACGCTCCAAGACCAGCAATAAAAGCTCAAATTCTAAGCAGATTTCATTGCCGAAGGAGTCACTCTAGATACAACACCAGAAGGAGTATGGGAGGTTTATGTGGACGGCGCGGCAAGCAAACATGGAGCCGGAGCGGGTGTAGTCGTGCGCACCCCGACAGGTGTTGTTCACGAGATAGCAATCCGATTCAGAACGCTGAAGACAATTAATGCGACTGAATATGAGGCCATCTTGGCGGGAATGACGGCCGTCAACGACTTGGGCGCAAGAACGATAAGGGTACTCTCCGATTCCTCGCTAGCAGTCAACCAACTGAACGGAACCTTCGACGCAAAAGAGGACACGCTCGCGCATTACATGGAGCGTGTCAAACAACGGGAAAGTGCCTTTGAAGCGATGACCTACGTGCAAATACCAAGGGAAGAAAATATGCACGCGGACGCGCTATCCAAGCTAGAAACCGCAACCGACTTCCAATCAACGCGCCTAGTATCGGTCCAAAAGGAGGAGGAAGTCGGTCAAGAGGTGATGATTAAAACCACGCAACTTATGCAAGATGAGGACTGGAGAGCCCCGATCGTAAAGTACTTACAAGATGGTGCGGTGCCGGAAGACGCTAAAGAGGCGTGGACTTTAAGGCAAAAAGCGGCCCGATGCACACTCATTGGTGGAGAGTCGTACCGACGGTCATACTCAGGCGTTTACCTAAAATGCATCGGGCAAGAGGAAGCGTGCAATGTTGTGCGCGACCTACATGATGGATTGTGTGCAATGCACGCAAGATCGCCAGCATGGTACGCACCATCTTGTTGCACAGACACTATTGTCCGCGAGTGAAAAAAGACACAAAGGAATGCGTGGACCAATGCCACAATTGTCAAGTGAACGCGCGCCAGCATCATCTCCCATCGACCAAGCTTCAAGGCAACCTGAGCCCATGGCCCTTCGCGCAATGGGGAGTGGACCTTTTGGGTCCCTTTCCGACGAGAAAAGGAAAGAGCAAGTACATAATCGTGGCAGTGGACTACTTTACCAAGTGCATCAAAGCGGAAGCACTAGCCTCGATAACGGCGCAACAGGTAACGCACTTCCTGAAAAATAACATCCTAGCACGCTTCGAGGTCCCGAATGCACTCATCTTCGACCACGGGAAACAATTCGATTGTGCGGAGGTGATAGACTTTTGCGACCAAGTGGGGACCATTGCAAGATTCGCGTCAGTAGCATATCCCCAAGCCAACGGTCAAGCGGAATCGTCCAACAAAGCAATCCTGCATGGCTTGCACACCCGCCTGGATGAAGCCAAGGGCAATTGGGCTGACGAGCTCAACACGGTGTTATGGGCACACCGCACCACGTTCAAAGTGGCGACGGGTGAAACTCCTTTTGCGCTCACGTACGACACTGATGCGGTGATCCCCATTGAGACAACAGCCCCAACCTATCGGATCACGATGTACAATGAAGAGAACAACGAAGAGGCGCGCCTACTAGACTTGGAATTAGCACAGAAGAGACGAGAATTAGCGGCCATCAAGCTAGCCGCGACGAAGGAGCCGGTAGCAAAGTACTACAACGCGAAGCTGGTTCTGCACAATCTGACCCTCGGAGACCAGGTACTGCGTCGAAACTTCCGCCCCGATCCCAAACATGGGAAACTCGCTTCAACATGGGAGGGTCCATACCTAATCCGCGAGGTGGTTGGCGCCAACACTTTCAAGCTTAGCGAATTGGGGGGCATCCAAAATTCCAAGAACGTGGAATGCGCAGAATCTCAGGAAATATTACAGTCCCACTTAATGTGTATCTTGTTCACAGTGGCGCATTTGCGCGGACGAATAAATACAAAGTTCGACAGAACAGGAATAGCAATAATCATGAATTATTCGCGCCCGCGCTCTGTGCAAAAGAACATAAAACACTGATCATGAATCGTGCGGAAAGTTCAATATATAGCAATAATC